TACATTTAGGTTCTTCAGGAGGTCCCGAACCTGGTCTTCACTTACAGCTGGAGGGATTTTACCCTCCTGGTCTCCTTCATGCCATTCATCGACTCGGGAGGGGTGAGGAGAGAGGTTGCCAGTGAAGACTGAGGCAAAAAAGTTGTTGAGTACCTCAGCTTTCTCCTCATCTGCTGTTACCAGTTTGCCGCTCTGGCTCATGAGCGGGGGTATGCTTTCTTTGACCATCTTTTTCCGGCTGACATACCTCATCTGCAATGCCCTTGCAGCCCTTCATCCCCCTTTAGTCTGGCTCCCAGGCCAACAGAACTGGTAGAAGAGCTTTTGCTCATGGGGTGTGCTGGGCTTTAGCTTCGGTTGCTGCAATCCTGCCTAGGTCAAAACCTAGCTAAGGGCAATTTTACCTCCTTTGCCCAGCCTGGCTTAAGGAATTTGGGTTCACACTGTCACAGGATGCCCCTTCTATCTATGGGGACTCTTCCAAGCGCTATTCCACCCCTCCATTCAGGATCCCGCTATTTAATGAAGGCTGTCTGTCGAGTGCTATTGGAAGGGTACCTTGAGATATTTACTCATAAACTGAGTAAACAGAAGCAAAGCTTGACAAAGGATGCATCCCAGTTACAGGCTGAATGCGAAGGCCAGCTTTGTAGACTCAAACTCACACTCATAACCAAGTAAATATTTACTTAAATACCCTTTTTTGTAGGACCCATGCATCTCTTAAGAGGTAGGAGGAAAGTCTTACCACGTTTTTTCCCATTTCAGGTCTCAGAACATCGTACAACATCTACAGGTCAGCACTATGAATGAGGCCAGCAACTGCAGCGTCACAAGCCCAGAACTGGATCACCACGTTCGTCTCGTTGAGCTCACTCTGTATAGCCTGATTTTCTTTTTCGGAGCACTGTTCAATGCCCTTGCCCTCTGGGTGTTCTTCTGCAAGATGAAGAAGTGGACAGAAACCAGGGTGTATGTCATCAATTTAGTCTTTGCAGACTGCTTTGTCATCTGCACCTTGCCTTGCGTGGCTTATTTGCTCTGGAGCAAGTCAACCCGAAACGAACTCTGCCAGTTTATAGAGGCGATGTATTTTATCAACATGGTCGTGAGCATCTACATCGTTTCATTCATCTCCGTCGATCGATACGTCGCCATAAAGCACCCCTTGAAAGCCAGGACCTGCAGGTCGCCATCGAAGGCTGCCCTTCTCTGTGGGCTCCTGTGGGTCTGCGTGACAGCCGGGGCCGCCTTCCAGCTGGGGCAGAGACACGCCGCGCTCTGCTTTCAGAGGGACCACGCAGCGCCCGCTGCGCTGAGCCTGCTGCTCACTCTCACTCTCCCGTTAGTAGTCTTGACTTTTTGCTCCACAGAAGTAATCAGGAACCTTAAGAGACGCCTGAGCACAAACACACCAGAGGAGAAATTAATCCAGAAAGCTGTTCACATTATTTATGCAAATCTGATTGTATTTCTGATATGTTTTCTGCCAGCCTACCTCGGGCTGCTTGCCAGGTTCATAATGCAGAGTGTCGGCGCTACCTGTTTCCTGCTCCATGTTCTGAACAACTTCTCCTCTGTGGCGAGGTGCATCGCCACGTCCAACTGCTGCCTGGATAGCGTCTCCTACTACTTTGTGACCAAGGAGTTCCACGAAGCCCTGCTACCGCACAAACCCAGCACCGAAGAAACAGGTCAAACCCACCCCCTGCAGACACACACCTGCTAAGGGGGGAACGGACACACGGACACAAAAAACACCAGACCCCAACAAACCCAAAACAAATCTGTAACATCAAAAGAAGATGCAGCATTATTTGGACAACTTTTTTTCTCTGGGGAGATCTTTGTTAGGTTTAGCATTACTAAGTTAATTGCCGTTTATGTTTCTATTAAACAAATTAAGTATTTCACAGAGATGGGTAAAACCATATAGGTAATCCTTGGTTGCTAACATGCCTCCATTGCACCCTCCAGCACCCACCTGTAGCTCTCACGGGACGACAGGTGACCCATGTATGTCCCCCTGCTTCGGTTCGTTGTACAGCTAAAGTCAATTGATTCTTCTTGCCGACATGTACAAAAGAATATATCATGTTTCAGGTTATTTACATTATTAAAATGACCCAGTTTAGTTCTATCACGTTCCTTTGGTGGGCTTGGGGGATCTCAGGCAGCAGCAGCACACTGCTGAGTACACGGCCCTACAGAACAGCCGGGACTCTGCTGACCACCCTTCCCCTTCCAGTCAATGGGTCAGACAGACGGGAAGGAACACCTTTAGGATGAAAGCAAGGTGTGTCCAGTGCCAAAAAGGCAGAAAGTCCTGGTGATTTCAGAGCTGAGCCCTCCTGCCGGCTCCCCTCCCGCTGCACTGCTGAGCCCTGGTGCAGGGACATCTCCTGCTGTGGGGAAACGCGCTTCCCCATGGGCCAGCAGCCTAGCAAAGTCAGGGGAGATGGGGAGCGGGTTGACCCCCTATGTGTTATTCCAATTCTCCCTAGGACTGGGCTTTTTTCCTTCTAAATACCGAAAAAAAATCTCCCAAACGGCCTCCGAGCTCTGCCCAGGCAATGCTCAGAGTGCTCCAGGAGACAGCGTGGAGTCGTCAGCCCTGCCCACGTACGCTGTTCCCCCCGTGACCTCCATCTGCCTTCAGCAGCCCATGGCTGCTGCTCTACCTGCCGTTGTCACCTTTGGGACCGCAAGCTCGGGAGACCTGAATTAATGGGACCAGTCCCGAGGGAGTCAGTCTGGCTCACAGAGGTGGGACTGCAACTGCTGCAGCCAACAGACAGCAGAAGCCATCAAAGCGACCATAAAATACCACCAGGAACATTCTCAAGCATGTTTCTAAAGGTCCTGACACCCATGGTGTGCTCACAGCCACACCGGTATCCCTCGCCCGTGCCTGGTCGGCAGCGCCTGTCCTTACCAGCTTGGGCTTTGCAGTGATGCTGAAGAGCAGCGTTAGGCATCTGCCCGCTTCACAGAAGACGAGCAAGGCCCATAACGCTTGCCACCTTTCTTGTAACGACATGGAAGAGAAGCGTGCTGGGTCCCCTCGCCCTGGGCTCACCGTGATGGGGTGCAGGAGCCCTGAGGTGCCCCCCTGGAAAGGCCACCAGCCCCCACACTCCTGCCTGCCTGGGACACGCTCCACAGCTGCACCGGAGGCTGGAGGAGTTGCTGTCCTCCCTGGGGGCCCTTTCGCTGCCAGAAGGGCAATTTGCAGCCATTATGGGTTTTATTTCAGAAATTATTTATTTCCCCGTGGCTGAAAATATGAGATTTTAATTGCTAGCTGGTGTGAGGTGAGGGGGGGAGCGCAGAGCGGGTGGAAGAAGCACTGAGCTGATGGGCGTAGAACAACAGAGGGCACCAGAGATTTGGCCGTTCCAAAAAGGAGGTGATAAATTCAGCATTTTTGGGGAACAAGCGTTCATTGCCGCGTTTCAGCGCTCTCGAGCTGCTGGCAGGAGGCTCCCGCGCAGCCCTGCGCGGAGCAGCACCCAGCGCCGGCGGCCCCGACAAATCTCCTCCCCTGCCAGGCCATCCGCGTCTACACCGCGACTTTTCTGAGGACGAGACCCGCCTGACGGCCCCGCAAGAAGCAGGTAACGCCTTTTCCTTCTTCCCACACCGGAGCGTGGCAGCGTGCTCTGCTCCGCAGCCCAGGGCGTGCTGCTCACCTCCCCACCGAAGCGCCAGCCAGGGCTGCCCACTGCTTAAAACACAGCTCCATCCCCTAGGCTGATGCTTCGGGTTCCTCCTGCTGTCACAGCTCTTCTGCCCCTCTGCTTTGAGCCTCCCGTGTCAATGGGGGGGATCCTTGGCCCCTCGCTGCGGTCTCCCACCGGCGCTCCTCGCCGCGCCTCTTGCACCGGTTGCTCGCGGCTGGCGGGCAGGGATCGGCTGCAGG